CCTATGCAGTATTTTTCTTTCCAGCATCGGACTTTCCTTTCACTTCCAGACACATCCACAGCTGAGCGTCCTTTCGGCTTTGGCCCAACCACTTCATTAGCTCTGGAGCTACTTGTCCTTGTCCTCTGCTCTTCTTCAGTAGCATGTTGGACGCCTTCCGACCTGAGGGTCCCATCTTCCTCTTTTAGCCTTTTGTTTCTGTCCATGGAGTTTTCTTGGCAGGGATACCAGAGAGGCTCCAGTTGGATTGCGTTTAGTCGGAACTCTCCACTATGACCTGTCCGTCTTGGGTGTCCCTGCATGGCATAGCCCGTAACTTTTCTGAATTATTCAAGCCCCTTCGCCACGACAAGGCAGCATCCGTGATGGGGAAATTATGGGTACTGATCGACAAAATTGTCCAATGATAGCTTTGTTAAATCTGTTTGGAAATAACCGATTAGAATCGGAAAGAATTAATTATTATTGTGGTAACAGTGTCCAAACTCCTGGAGGCAGTGGAAGACAGGAGGGCCTGGCATGCTCTGGTTCATATGGTCACAAAGAGTCGGACATGACATAACGACTAAACAAGAACAGCAATGGTAACAGTTGCAAGATTGATATTTGCAAGGAATTAGAAGAAGAAGCAATTCAGTATGCAGAATTGCTATAATGAAATTTGGAATATGGTTGTCAACGATAAATTAATGTGTGAATTGAAAATTAGAAAAGGAATAGTGAAAGCGAATCATTTTAAGGCTATATAGAATTTAAATTTTTTTTAGTACATGTATTTGGTAAAGATAAACAAAGGTCATACCCCAGGACAAGAATCATTCTGCTTTTGGAAAAAAACGGGGCATGCAAATTAAAAGAAAAAGAAAACCCAGAAGGGGGGGGGGTTAGGAATGCTGGATGTATTTAGTATTATGAGTTTTGATTTGAGTGGTTTGTTTTTTATTAGATATATTTTTTTCTGTCTTTTTATTTGTCATATTATTGTGATTACAATTTAAAAGGCTCCTTGCATATAAACGATGCAGCCTATCAGGCCCCTTTCTTCCTGTTCAAGGCTATCAATGATTCCTCGCCAGGTTGGCGGTATGCAGCTTCCAGAACCCGAGGCATTGTGCCCCAGGATTCCGGTTTCTGAATAGTAACAGTGATGATTGTTCATTCTTTCCCTCTGCTCGTTCTCCTTCTGATTCGTTTTCCTCCCCAGCTATCATGCACCGGCACCTTCTCTCTCCCCTTCCTCTCCTGCAGACATGGTGGGCCCTGCAGAACCAAACAGTGCATGCTGCTGCCGACAGGCCTTATAGAGAAGGGACTGTCCGCTGTCTGATTCTGCTCCCTCTATGGTTGCTTAGTGAGAGTTTGGAAAATCTCCTACTGAGTAACTAAGAAGGCTCTTGACAAGATGATCTAAGATTCATTCACACATTTTTTTTAAACAAAGCACCTCGGAGATAAGATACTCCAATAATCCTATTCTTATGCATATCAGGTGTCAGCTGTCTCCAGAGCGATGGCTGGAGACAGACAGACAGACGCACTCCCAGGACCCCGTTCTCTTTTGTTATTGTATATATGTCCAAGAAGGGAAGCTGTCTCAGCAAAAACAACATGGAATTCATGCGGCCGTGACAAGCTTTATTTGGCATAAGCTTTCATGGCCTGTGGCTGGGCTGGAGAGTTCAGTGGTTTCGCTCTCTGGCTGAAGAGCCAGAGGTTGGGGGTTCGATTCCCTGCTGAACCTCGTAGGGGAAGAGCCAGCCTGGGAAGCCCGACCCTCAGAAGAAGGCAGTGGTCAACCACCTCTGAGTATTCTCTACCTGGAAAACTTTGAAAAAGAGTTGCCATAAGTCAAGAATTGACTTGACAACATATGATGATGAATCATGAGCTGAGAAGGCAGTGGTCAACCACTTCTGAGTATTCTCTACCTGGAAAACTTTGAAAAAGAGTTGCCATAAGTCAGAATTGACTTGACAACATATGATGATGATTCATGACCTATAGGCCACAGCTATGCACAAGGAGAACTTGGCTACAGTCCATAGGCCAAATCAAACCATTTAGACTTTAAGGTGCGTCTTGTTGTTATATATAAAATCATACAATGAAATAATTACCCTGTATTCACGAAGGCTTTCACGGCCGGGATCTAATGGTTGTCATGGGTTTTTCAGGCTCTTTGGCCGTGTTCTGAAGGATGTTCTTCCTAACGTTTCTCCAGTCTCTGTGGCCGGCATTGAAGATTGAGTGCTGTCCTCTGAAGATGCCCATGGCCACAGAGACTGGCGAAACGTTAGGAAGAACATCCTTCAGAACACGGCCAAAGAGCCCGAAAAACCCACAACAACCAAATAATTACCCTGTTTCCCCTAAAATAAGACCTAACCTGAAAATAAGCCCTAGTATGATTTTGCAGGATGCTCGTAATATAAGCCAAAAATAAGCCCCAGTGAAGTGAAAAACTGCCCTTGTGCAGCAACCAGAAGAAAATGACATGACTGTATTTGAATAAACATATATTGTTATACATGCAAAAAATAAAACATCCCCTGAAAATAAGCCCTAATGCATTTTTGGAGCAAAATTTAATATAAGACCCTGTCTTATTTTCAGAGAAACAGGGTAGATTATATCTGCAGTGCTTAAGTAGAGCAATAATGGTCTAGCCGAATATTTCCAGAGTTGGTCTCTTAGAATAAGGAGGCATCTGAGAGCCAGAAGCTTCCCAGTTTTCATCGTCATGCTTGTTCTGTGGCCCAGTCAGTGCACTTCACGGCTTTATCTTCAATATCTGCTCAAGGAGAGGCCTCTGCTATCTTCTACACCTGCAGGAAAAACAGAACACCTTTAAAATATTGGGTCTCGGCAGCCTAGAGCAGACAGGACAGAGGGAAATGGCTGACCACCTGCTAGCCAGGTGGGGTAACAGGTGGCTGATCCGTGGGGCTAATGAAAATGAACTGACATCTCTGTGCGCGGGGCGAAAAGGAGGAGCTCTTGAATCCGGGAAAGGACAACAGGGAAGCCAGCCTCCAGAAGGCTGGCCCCATTCCTGGCTGACACCAGTTTTCACAGTTTCCCCAAATTCAAACTCCTCAAGTTGACCTCCTCCCCCTTTAATGGTACCCCCCCCCCGTCCATGGACTTCCCCCGCCGGCTCTTCTAGATGTGGGAAACCCAAGGTGGGGAAGAGGGAGTTCTCTCCACCAGCTCAGTTCAGGAAACATCAGCCAATCATCCCCAGCTACGAGCCAGCCGTGGAATAAAGAGTCAGTCAGCATCCACAACTGGATCACTGCATGGTGATGCAGCATCTGCAAAACATCTTGAAAGCAGGGGTCTCTGGCTGCAGAGCCAGACATGGTGATGCAGCATCTGCAAAACATCTTAAAAGCAGGGGTCTCTGGCTGCGGAGCCAGAGGTCGGGAGTTTGATTCCCCGTTTGGGCCTCTTTGACAGGGGCTGGACTAGATGATATTGAGGGTCCCTTCGAGCTCTGCAGTTCTATTACTCTATTATTATTGTTGTTGTTACTACTACTACTACTACTATTACTACTACTACTACTATTATTATTACTATTACTATTATTACAATCAGAATTATAATAACATTGACTGGTATCTAACAGATGCAAATTTTAAGCAAAAACCTTCCTTCTTCTTCTTAAAAACCGATCCAACACATTATGATTCTCAAGTTGCCAAACATGTCTGGGCTACATCGAAAACCAGCTGACTGGTTTAAAACGACACGAGAAAAGCAGGAATTCACCTCTAGCCTTTCCAACATGCTAGTCCTCTTGGTCAGGGCCACCATCCTCCAAAGCACTTTGGTCTACTCCAGGAAGGGTCTGCCTGAGGCCAAACCCCATGTCCCTCAGGTAGTTCTCAGAGAGCAGGCCTTTGACGCGCAAGGCGTAGTTATGCTCAAGACAGGTCACCTCAATACAGTATCTGGACTCCCTCTTGGATGGAGGCACTGAAGAGAGGGTGGGTTTCCCCGACCCACCATTCTTCTCACTGATCTTTCTTGTCTTGTGGGCTGGAGCCCACAATTGGGCTCAACCATACTTACTTCCCCTCTGAAATCAGCAGGACTTGATTGAGTTGAGAAGCAAATGTCATCCCAGTTTCAGTGGCCAGGACTCGCTTTCTCCAGATCCAACTGAAGCTTGGCAGATTCACTGTACTTTTATTTGGACTACCACTCCCAGAATCCTCAATCCATGCTGGCTGAGAGAGGCCTTGGGAATTGTAGTTTCAACAAATAACCTTTCCAAGCTCTGGATCCATGCCCACATTTGGAGTCATGATGAAGTTCAGTATCAATTTAGGTAGAGTCAGACTTCTCTTATCCATGGTTCACTTATCCACTGTCTGAGAATACTAAATAAAACCCCCAGAAACACAGATTTTATATGCATTCCCGGGGTGTATTTATGAGAACGGGCCACCGGAGGGAGCCAGAGATGGTGCGCTGTGTACCGTTTGATAGTTCCACAATTTTTGATTTCTGCCGGGGAGGGGGGTACCTTGGGACCGATTCCTGCAGATACAGCGACCCCACTGTATTTCTTCTGGATTTTTGCCCTGTGCCATGTGGAGAGTGTTCAGTGTTTTCCTCCTCTTCTCTGTCTTGCTCCAGTGGGGTCCGCAGACGTCCCTGACGACAGCCACCCTACCCAAATATCGCACCATGAACCCTTGCCCGGTGCACGAAAAGCGAAGCGGGACCGTCTTCCTCTTCTTCATCTGTGTCTTGGACCACGTGTCGGTGCGACACCAGATCACGACCGGAAGGAACGCGGCCCGGCTGTGCTACGTCTCCAGCCAAGATGGCGGCCGTACCTGGAGCCCATTGACTGACCTGACAGACCAGACGATCGGGGACGACTTGAGGAACTGGGCCACCTTTGCCGTCGGGCCAGGCCACGGCGTCCAGTTGACCTCCGGGCGGCTGGTGGTGCCGGCCTACGCTTACCACATCCGCAGGCGCTGCTTCTCTTGCGCCTCGCTCTGCTGCACGAAGCCTCATTGCTTCACCTTCTACAGCGACAACGGAGGACAGAATTGGGCCCAGGGTCAGCTCCTTGAGAAACTGAGGACCACCGAGAGCCAGGTGGCCGAGGTGATGTGCCCGGACAATAGCCAAGTGTTGTATATCAACGCCCGGAATCCACGTTGGGATGGGTGCCGAGCGGAAGCCTTCAGCACGGACGACGGCCACCATTTCCAGGAATCCTTCCTGTGCCAGGAATTGTGCGAGCCTCCAAACGGATGTCAGGGGAGCATCGTGAGTTTCGCTCCCCAGCCGGCCTCCTCGGATCGGGACCGGAAGGAAGACGTGGGAGAGCCACCTCATCTTTTAGGCCTCTGTCCTTCGGCCGTCTCCCTCGGGAACGCCACGTCGTGGCTGGTTTTTTCCCATCCCACAAGCAGACACCGGCGCATGGATCTCGGCATCTATCTGAACACGTCCCCGCTCAAGAAGGGGTCCTGGGGAAAACCGTGGGTTTTAAACAAAGGGCCCAGTGGCTATTCGGATCTGGCCGTGTGCGAAGAGGGCCAATCGCTGATGTTCGGCTGCTTGTTCGAGTGTGGAGTTTCATCAGCCTGTGAAGAAATTGCCTTTCAGTTGTTCACTCACGTTGAGCTTCTGAAACACACAAGAGAAGGCTCCTCATTTGCGGAGGTCCCCTCTGACTCACATCTGTCTTAAGCTCTTGGAAAATACAGAAAGACCACAGTATCCATGGGGGATCGGGTCCAAGCTGCTCCGTGGATGCCAAAAAACGTAGATGTATCGAACGCTATACATTACGTAGTCTATGGCTCCCTCTAGTGACCTATTCTGGTAAATACACCCTGGAAATACTGTACATATTCCTGGGGTTTTTTTAGCATCTTCACATCTGGTAAATACACCCTGGAAATACATATTCCTGGGTTTTTTAGCATCTTCACATAGCAGATAAGTGAATCAGTGGATAATGATCCTACTAATGGGGGGGTTCCTGTTGTATTTACCACCCATGGTCTGAAGATTTATTGCCATTTCACGGGTCCTGACTGCGATCCATGTGCCAAAATTGTTACACTGGGACTTCGTTAGGAGTAGCTTTTCATACAACACATATTGAACCTCTGGAATTTTCTGCCACGGGGTGGTGGGAGGGCCCTGGTTCCAGATGCCTTTTAAAGAAGCTGGAGCAAATTGAGGGAGCAAACGGTCCTCTCCATGGCAGCTAGTCTGGGCAGAGCCATTTCCGAGCTCAGAAACCTGAGTTGTTTTTAGGACTGTGATTTCGAGAAGGCCCCGGCTGTTCAAGTAGAGTAGAAATGGGTGCAAACCTGAAAAAATAGTGGTTTGTAATGGTTCATGGTTAGCCACCAGCTGAAAAACCAAACCGGTGGATGGCTTGGTTTTCGGTTTATGCCCAGAGATTTGGAGGGGGTGTGCCTGCCTGCTCCGGTTGTGTTGTGCGGTTGCCGTCCCCTCCAGGCCGGGGGAGACAGAGGCAGTGGGAAGAGGGTGGGCGAGCATCCGTTTTGCCAAAACAAAACAAAAGGGAACATCCATGGAAAGTTTTTCTCCATGGTTTTGACACCAGCTTCTTTTTTTGCTTTGGCGGCTAGGCCCCCTCCTTTATAATATAGACCAGCGCTTCCCAACCTTGGGTCACTGAGGGATTCTTGGACTATAACTCCCAGAAGCCTTCACCACCAGCTTTGCTAGCTTAGATTTCTGGGAGTTGCAGTCCAAGAACAACGGGGGGGGGGACCCAAGGTTGGGAACCACTAATATAGAGAATTAAAAGTATTGGCCCCATTGGTTGTGGGTTCTGGGAATTGCAGTCCAAACAACAGCAACTTTTCCAAGCACTGGTTAAAAAAAACTGAGCCATCTGGAAATAACATAGAACAATTCTATTTTATAGAGAGTCACACTTTAACAAACTCCTAGCAGCTGTTCTGAGCCACCAGATTCCACTCACTGTTGACTTCTGTGTGTTGATTTGTTCTGTGCTACCAAATTTGTGTAGATTTGTTCTGTGCTACCAAATTGCTTCCAATTTATGGCCACCCTATGAATGCATAACCCTGGAAAAAGTCCTACCACTCACAACTCTTGCAAATTCAAGGTTGTGACCTCATGCATTCAATTTATATTAGGTCTCACGTTAGATCTTCCTGTTTTCCTGCGGCCTTCAACTTTTCCCAGCATGATCGTCTTTTTCCAGCGCGTCTCGTCTTCTCACGAGGCGCCCAAAGGCGGGAGAACTTCAGTTTCGTCGTTCCTTGTTCGCGGAACGAGTTCTGGCTTGATTCGATCGAGGGCCCAACTTGTGTTTCTGGCTCAGAGCATCCACCAAGCTCTTCTCCGTCACGGCCTTTTGGATGAAGGAGGGCATGGATTGATGGGTGGACGGTGGCGCCAAAAGTCCAACCCAATGAGCAGAACGAGAGCCGCCGGACGTCTGAAGCCGGGTGCAGGGATAAAGAGACTGCTCTGCTCTGATCACCATGCCTTGCCTTGTGAGGAAAGGATTGCTAGGCCACGTGGCCATCTCCTCTGCTTACTCTTTGGCCACTAGAGAGGACCAAACGCCAGCGGTCCTTCCAGTATAAACTGCATGCTATCACATCCGCTCCAACTTAGGGTCGGAATGACCATTTCTAGGAATTTCCAGGTCGAGAGTATTCAGAAGTGGTTTTCCATCCCCTTTTTCTGGGGGCAGTTTTGCGACTCTTGTGCAGCTGGCCCCAGGCCACCCAGGCTGGCTCTTCTGCCAGGAGGCACGGGGTGTGTGTCAGGATTCAAACTCCCAACCTCTGACAAATACCTCCCTCACGGAGCTATCCAGCCAGCAAACCGTGGTGGTCAGCCTGAGGGGCTCACCGGCCCACAGCAAAGCTGAGTGGGTGGCAGGAAGAAAAAAATGTCCCCCATATCCTTTTGGGCCCCTGGCTGAAATCTAAGATAATGCACTAGGAAAATAAAATGCGTTTTAAATTTGTCACTTGAAAATCATTAGGCTGGAGGTGGGCAATCTTAACGGGGCCAAAGGGATAATGTAGGCATCCCAGGACCCTCATTCCTCAGACGTAGGACTCAAGGAGACAGGATATGGCCAAAGAAGCTAAGCTGCTTCTTGCAGTTTAATTACAGTATTATTATTTTTTAAATGCAGCAGTTAGATGAGATTCTGTTGCCTAGTGTCACCGCAGGGAAGAGTAGGCCCATGGGAATCAATAGAATGGACTACAAGAAGCAGCGGAATTTCAACTTGGAAGCCCAAAGATGTCGGGGGGCACTTCTCTGCCACCCTCCCAGCTTTGCTGTGGGCCAGTGAGCCCCTCAAGCTGAGCCCCCTCCCATTTTTATTTTTAAATATTTCAGCTGAAACTTGGTGTAGGGAAGCATGTCTCGTTTTAGAGGGGAATCCCATCTCCCCGGCCATCGACCCAAACTTCAGATCCCAGGTCTTTCTGGACCACAACTGGAAGCCCAAATCCCAAAAGGTCTAGCCAGCACAACCCATTTGCAGGGATTCTGGGAACTGTAGTGCAAGAATATCGGGGGGTCTCGAGTTTAAGAACCAACACGCTGGTCACGAAGCCTGAGTCTCCTGGTTTGGAGAAAGGACGAGGAGGAAGATGGAAGGAGTAGACCTGCTGTAGAGCTTGAGTGTTTTCGGAATCTGGTTGTGGAGCCCGAGGTTGGGAGTTCGAATCCCCCTTGGCGGGGGCTGGACTGGATGATCCCTGAGGGTCCCTTCCAGCTCCGGTGTCCTAAGATTGTTATTAAAAACAGTCCATGGGGGTTTAAGAGGTGGTTTGCTCTCTGCAGTTTATGTTTGCGGTTGTGTGTTAGATTAAAACCTTCCTCTCTGCTGGAAACAGATGTTTTTATGGTCATGTTATAAGATGGTTAATCCATTCCACTGAATTTGACTTCCTGTTTTTGAGCCGCCTCGAGAGTCTCCGGGCAGTCCGGTCAATGCTGTTAATACCAGAACTTGGAAATCTTGGGTGGGGGTGGGGGTGGGGGTGTTGGACTCTCATTGCCAAGGAATAAAACCGTTTGGGGGGGGGGATTTCATACCGGGGCTTTCTCCAGTCCCTGTGGCCGGTGGCTTTTCTTCATCTCCTGTCTATGCTACATTCTTATCACACAGCACCTGGAAGCAAGGAAGAACAAGGTTGTTGTGGGTTTTGTTTTGTTTTGTTTTTTAGTTTTGTTTTTTGACAAATTGTGCCTTAAAAACAGCCATCATAGCACTGGAGCAATAAAAGATCACCCCATTCAGATCCTCTTCTGTGCATGATCACTTCACAAAGCACTTTGGACTTTCCGGGGGGAAACCTTTTGGCCCTTCAAATGATGGGCATACCAGTTTCTTGATTTATTTTATTGATTAGATTTATACACAGCACCCTCTGGCAGCCAGGCCACTCTGGGGAGCTAACCACAACAATAAGACAAACATCACAACATTAAAACACAATAAGAATAGAATAATGCAGACATTCAACCGGTACCATAACTAGTAGGATAAATTAAAACAGGTGGCTATAAAGAGGGTAGAAAGGAAGCTGAAAGGATGGCAAAAGGGAAGCAGAGATATCAGCAGTTTAATGTTCCATCCATTTCAGCCAGCACAGCCTATATAGTAAAGGACTGTGGGATTTGGACCGTAAAACATCTGGAGGGCCAGATGTTCCATATCTTCCGGCCAAGCAACGGTCCTAAAATCTGAAGGGGGCCAAAGAGGCCGTGTTACATTCGGAGGCACATAAACACCATCTATAGGTGTCTAGGCATGTTTTCGGCTTCTTTGCATGTGGCCAAACCCCCCCCCCCAGTTCTTTCATCCTCTGACCCTTAGGGAAGACTGTCTCTTGACAGGGAGAAAAACAAGAGGAGGTTTATCAATGAAGGGTCTGTAATTCTGCCCACCTCCCTTTTCATGCCTGATACACACACATATTACAAATAGGAGATGATATGGCCTCCTGCACGGCAGATGGAGATCACCCTTTTAAAAAAAAAACTTTTATTTATACACACAGAGAAACCACACCTTGCAAGTAGAAATCTAGCATAGGAGGGAATGTCCTTGCAAAAACTTTCTCCCGGAGGTGCTAGATGTTTATTTTCCAAACTTTTTTTCCCAAACAATGTGCCGTTGTTATTTCAAAAAGAGGATCACTCAGAGACCTCAGCCCTGCTCCGTTGGCCCGCGCGCAGAGGTGCTACATTTCCAAACTCATCCTGAAGGATCCAGAGAAAGATGGACCTACCGGTAGTAACGGGGGCATCCGTGAACCCCGAGGTGCATCTCGTGAGACAGACAAGAGCGGCGGCAGATCCCTCTCTGGCTGGCACACGTCCGCTTGATCAGGGGGACGCCCATCTCCTGCCCGGCTTCGGGATGCACAATTCAGAGACACGATGGTTAAAAATAAACTGAAATATTCTAACATTTCCAGGTTATACAGGGAGAAAAAGAACGCTCGAATGTGACATAATGAGGAAGGTACCCATGAACAGCTGGTGCTGCAAACATTTGGTGGTGGCGATGATGGTGGAGAAATCAGCATCTCTGTGAAGCTTTGTAAACAGAAGTCGATTTGCTGATCTGGACTGTAATTTAGGATAGAAAATTCCTTTGGCCAAAAGGGCTTCTCAAGGACCACCCGAAAAGGCCTTGAATCCTAACATGTTCCCCTCCTGTGGTATATAATAAGCCTTTCCCCAAAAGGCAACAGTGGTGGGCTTTATTTCCAGTTCCTCGATCATCCTTGTCACCACCCTCTGAATCTGTCTGCATCAATCTTAAAGTGGGGAGACCAGTGTTTTTGCCTCCTTGCATTTTGAGGGGTGGTGGCGGCCATGATGAGTTAAATTATTTTATTTATTTTAAATCTCACCTTCCTCCTTAGAAAGGACCCAAGGTGGCTTACATGCATTAAAAGACGATGTTTAAACTTTAAAATGGTACGTATACAAATACTAGGTAAAGGTAAAGGTTCCCCTTGACAATTTTTTTGTCCAGTCATGTCCGACTCTAGGAGGCGGTGCTCATCCCCGTTTCCAAGCCATAGAGCCAGCGTTTTTGTCCGAAAACAATCTTCCGTGGTCACATGGCCAGTGCGACTTAGACACGGAACGCTGTTACCTTCCCACCGAGGTGGTCCCTATTGATCTACTCGCATTTGCATGCTTTCGAACTGCTAGGTTGGCGGGAGCTGGGACAAGCAACGTGCACATCCGTCGCATGGATTCAATCTTACGACTGCTTGTCTTCTGACCCTGAAGCACAGGCTTCTGTGGTTTAGCCCGCAGCGCTAAACTCTGTATACAAATACCAAAAACACAGTAGACGAAAGCAACACCAAGAACACATTCAAAACAGTAAAGCACCGGTTTAACAACCCGACTCGGGCAACCAGTCACTCGGGGAATGTAAAAGGGGTTTGGCTGTTTGTGGCCTCCAGTGGGAGGGAGTTCCACAGTCTCTGAGAGCAGCCACAGAGAAGGTCTTCTGCTGTGTCCCCATCAGATGCACCTATGAAAGTGGAGGGACCGAGGAAAAGCCTCACCTGATTATATTAATGTCATAAAAGGTGATGCAGTCCTTGAAATAGCTCGGGCCCAAGCCATTCGGGGCTTTATAGGCTATCCGGCTGCTGCATTTTGGACCCAATGACATTTGCTGACACTTTCTGCCGGCAGCCAGCATCTGGCTGCTGCATTTTGGACCCAATGAAATTTGCTGACACTTTCTGCCGGCAGCCAGACCCACACCGATTGCACCCATTCCCAGGATTTCCGAGAAGGGAAAGGGATTTTCCTCACAGAGATCTGAGAGTTGAACCCAGTTCTTTTGGCCGGGAAAGCCCTTCTTGCATTCCAGAGCTCCAGGAGCTTGGAGAGGAGCCCACGGGATACAGGAACACTTGGCGAGCCCCCCCNGAGGAAAAGAAGCCTGTGCTTTTTCGTCTGGCGAGTCCCCCTCCCTGTTGTGCTTAAATTCAAGGAGAGCCCCGTCCCACCCTTCTCTGCCTCCGGTCACCAGGGGAACCTTACCGAGGAGCGCCAGCAGTGCCAGGAAGAAGAGCACGCGTGATCCTAAAACGATCATGATGGAGACGCAGCGGATCCTGGCGTGCTGATGAGGATCTCCCTGTCCTTTGAGTCCTCAGCAGCCCGGCCAGGCCTTTCTCTCTGGTGGACTTCACTCTCTCCCTAAGGCGGGGTTTGGCACCGTCCGGCCGCATCGTGACTCCGAGAGGCCTGGATTTAGGCAGGCGCTCTCCCACATTGTGACCACTGATCCCGTCCCTCGTGGCTCAAAAAGGGGATCCTGCCGAATTCACGGGGGCATGCCTGCAAGAATGCAAGAACGCAGCCGTTTGAGTGCATGTCATACGGCCTGGTCTCGCAGCTTTTCCCTTCCGGACACGCAAACCCTTCTAGCTGCACGAGACATCAAATGTGCAAAGGAATTCCATGCTATTTTCCAGCGCCAGTGACTAAACAAAAGCAAACTGAGGCTGCATTTACATTGGCAAGCCAAACCAGAGTGGATTCAGCTTTACATCGGCTTGATTCTTAGGGTGGGACTACCTGGAGAAATACTGCAGATTTGCCCTGGAATAGGCACAGGTGACGTGGTGGCACTGCGGGTTAAACCGCAGAAGCCTCTGTGCTGCAAGGTCGGAAGACCAGCTGCCGTGAGATCGAATCCACGCAATGGAGGGAGCTCCCGTCGCTTGTCCCAGCTCCTGCCAACTGAGCCGTTCAAAAGCATGTAAAAATGTGAGTCGATAAATAGGGACCACCTCGGTGGGAAGGTTACAGCGGTCCGTGTCTAGTCGCACTGGCCATGTGACCACAGAAACTGTCTTCAGACAAAAACACTTGCTCTACGGCTTGGGGATGAGCACCGCGCCCTAGAGTCAGACACGACTGGACTCAATGTGAAGGGGAACCTTTACCTCTACCTAGGCACAGGTGAATGTGAAGTATTTTCCAATGACCCCTTGGCACAAAGGTAAATGCGAATCAACCTATTCTGTTTTTTGCTTCCAAATCAAGACTTTTTTCGTTCTACAGAAGGATTAGGGTTCATGACATTGGGTTGTTTTCTTATGATGCAGTTAGTTGGGCCATGACGTTTCTCTGTAGGCACCCTCAATTATTATGATGATTTTTAAAAAAACACAAGCTATTGAGTCTAGCGCTAGATTACCTTATTGCTGTATTGCTACATTAGTCGTACCTTAGTCACAGAAGACGCTCACCATCCAAAGTCACACCTGCAATCCTTTTGGAGACCCAAACAAATGATCACACCGCTGTCCATTATTTTCTTTAAATCACGGGAAATGGGGGATGTGCCAGAGGATTGGAGGAGGGCCAGTGTTGTCCCTATCTTCAAAAAGGGCAAAAAAGAGGAACCTGGGAACTACAGGCCAGTCAGCCTGACCTCAATCCCTAGAAAAATTCTGGAACAGATTGTGCAACCACCTAGAAAACAAGGCAGTAATTACTAGAAACCAACACAGAGTTGTCAAGAACAAATCCTGCCAAACTAATTTGTGCTGTCCTCTGAAGATGCCGGCCGCAGAGACTGGCGAAACGTTAGGAAGAACAACCTTCAGAACACGGCCAAAGAGCCTGAAAAACCCACAACAACCAAACTAATTTGAACTCGTTTTTTGATCAGGTCACCTCCCTGGTAGACAGAGGGAATGCTGTAGACATAGTATATCTTGACTTCAGCAAAGCTTTTGACCAAGTGCCCCATGAGATCCTGCAAGGCTCAGTCCTGGGCCCGGTGCTCTTCAATATTTTTTTATTAATGATTTGGATCAGGGAGTGCAGGGAATGCTTGTCAGATTTGCAGACGATACCAAATTGGGTGGAATAGCTTATACTCTAGAAGACAGAAACAACATTCAAAATGACCTTGATAGGCTGGGCCAAAAGCAACAGAGTGAAATTCAACAGGGATAAATGCAAAGTCCTGCACCTCAGAAAAGGAAACCAAACACACAGTTCCAAGATGGAGGAAGACCTGGCTCAGCAAAACTACGAGCAAGAAGGATCTTGGAATTGTTGTAGATCACAAACTAAAGCAAAACAAAGTGTGCTGCTTATATAGCACTTCAAGCACTCTCTGGGCGGTTTACAAGTTAATTATGCAAGCTACACATTGCCCCCCCCCACAAGCTGGGTACTCATTTTACCGCCCTC